CTCTTTCTCAGAGAGCAGCTAGCTAGCAAACTCCAAAATACAGCATAATTTCCAAAAATAAATGCCAAAACATTTGCTAGTCAAACTACCCAACCCAAATATGTGTAACTGCATCTGGGTGGTCTCTAGCCTTACTAACCATACATATAATATGTCTATGAATGTTTTTCTGGCAACCAAAGGATTTGCCCTAAAATGTGCTTCTATATCAGTATTTTCAAAAACTGAATTCTTTGTGCAATTGACATATCATAACTGAGCAGGAGAAGACATTTACCTTAGAATTACACATATTTCTAATAAGATTTGTACTACGAACTATTCTGCAGCAGAATGTTTTTATCAACCCATGATCTTTTCTTGTTGATGGATTTTATTCAGTCTTTGCAAACCAAATCTTCTCTATCATTCTTAGCTGGGTAACCTGAGAAATTGTTTAGAGTGAGGTTGCCTTTGGAAGCCTCTTCTTTAAATAGAGAAAATATTTTCCAAAGAGTTCATGTGACCTTCAGTACTATAGATGACATGTTAGGCTTTCCAATGAAATCCTTGATGTATTTGTGATTAAACTGTTTTTGTTTGATATTAATGATGATTATCTTTAACCGAAGCCAAAGCCAAAATAAACAAGGCTATGGGAGCAGAAAATTAAGACATAATAACTTGGTAAAGATAAGGACTTTGGGATTGAACCTAAATCTCTTTCCAGAGATTCATATAATGTCAAATATTAAGTAATGAGTCGTTTTCTGTTATGCTATTATTGAAATAATTCATAGATATCAAATGTCAATAAGTCTCTCAAGAGCTAACTTTCATCATCCTACAGTATCGTGGAATTCTAAACCTTGACATTGGGGAAATTTGCTTATGTCAAATGATCTCAATTTTCTGCCAAACTCTTTCATGAGGTTTTTTTGTGAGGGGGATAGAAATTTGGAGCTCTTAACAACTATTAAGAGAGGCAGGGGAAATCAGGATGCAGAAAATCCCTTTTAAAATTATGAAGACATTCCTCTACTGTTCATACTCTCCCTTTAGAAATGTCCCCTTTCTTCATTGAGAGACTTTTTCTCTCATATCCCCATATATAGGTTTAAAAAATGCTTTTACATCTACATATGATTTTAAACATAATATATCTCACTGTCTGATCATTACTAGAGGCAATATAGCATGGTAGTCCCTTCCACAGAATTCTCCATTCAGTTCCAAAAACTAATCACATCTTTCCTAGATGATCCTCAGTACTAGAGGATCCTGTCTGCAAAAAGAAAGTTATTTTGCAAGCCTAAGTTCTGAGTCATTCTGTGGGATGAAATGCCCCTGCCATGTGCAGGGGGCAACAATGGCAGTGCTGAGGGGACCTGCTACTCTCTCTCCTCTCAAGGCTGCTAAATGCCCTTATATAGTCCTTTGATCTCTCCTGGGAGCCTTCGAATTCAAGCAGAGGCCAATGTCTTCCTCAGCTGTCTTGTCCACAGATTCCTCTTACAACTCTGGCAGGTACTAATGTGTTTACATAGGTGTGCCCAGCTCCCTCCCGGAGCTGATAACAACTGAAAATTGTTTAGCACATTGGGAAGTCATCTACAAGAAGCAAAAGCAGAGTTCTGCAGGTAGAGGCAGAAGTGAGGAGAAACAGTTGTGTGTGTGTGTGTGTGTGTGTGTGTGTGTACAAGTGTCTTATGTATACATGTGTCTTTGTGTCTCTCTGTGTGTTCTTTATATATATATATATAAACCAAATATACATTTCCTATACTTCTCTTTTTAATTTCTCCAATTTGCTTTGTGTTTTGCTATAAGATTCACCCAAACCCCATACTTCCCCACATGGTCTGTCCTGGAAGAGAACAGCCATGCTTTCTGAGTGGGGAGGGAGCCTTTCTCATCTCTCAGGAGTAGACTTTCTTCTTTCTTTACAGACTACCTCAAGTTTTTGATCTCCCTCTTTTTTTTTTTTTTTAAGCTGTGGCTATGGCTTGAAAGTTTTGACTCATTTTTTATTCTTGTGCTCTGAGATCCTATTTTCAGCACTTGAGTCCCCTGGGCCCTCAACCCCGGACCCTGTCTCCCCTCAGCAGGACTCATTAAGCATCCAGCCGCTTGTGTTTCCCCCTGCTTCTTTAGTTCCACTCTGCCTGCTGCACTCTGGTAAATTTGTTTGGAGATCACCTTACCAAAGACAGCCGTAACCTCTGAGAATTTCTGCTACTGACAGGGGCCCCTGAGTGACAGCGTCTTCCCAGGACAGGAGCCCAGAGAAAGACTCCAGTTTGCATGAGTTTCTGCTTGCAGTAGCTGAGGAAGCCCCTGAAGACTGAGAGAGAGTGACTGTATGAAGCAAACAGGATCACCTCCCGGGGCTTGGTGACATTTCTGAGGACAAGGAGACTGTTTGAAATCCCCGTGTGGACAAGGGAAAATTAGCCAGCCCCAGAGTTAAAGTTTAACTTTAAAAAATGAAGACAAAAAAAAAGTGAGAGAGAGAGACAGAATCCTTTCTGGTACTGGGTGACTATGTGGAAATGGTGAAGATTAGTAAACCAGCCATGTCTGGCAGATTCAAGGCAGTAGCTAGTAGGTACATCCATGGAACACGGAGAGGCCAGCCTGGGAGGCAGTCCTAAGACAGGCAGGGCAGAATCCCTGTCTTCCACTTCAACTGTGAGGACCAAATTTGCATCCAAATCACTAAGTTGTTTTAGTTATCTTAAATATGAGACAGGGAAGGGAAGGAGGAAGGGGAAGGGAGGAAAGAAGAGGGGGAGAAGGAAGAAGGGGAGAAAGAAGAGGAAGAGGAGAAGGTTCATGGTTCTGGGTTGTGTGGTTGGTGAGCAGAGCCTCTCTATAGCTCTTGCTGTGAATTTGAGGGTGACAATATCTTCCTTTCCAAAACAATGTCAGTCCCAGAGGCTCCATGTTTGTTCTGTGTGCATTCATATGCATCCACATAAATGAGGCAGGAGCCTTGTTTTCAGGAGTGTGACTTTTTTTTCTCTCATATTGTCCTAATACTGTATTCATTTCAAAGGCATACATTTGTAACTAGGCCCCAGTACGGTATAGTTGGGTTTCCCATTGGCTAGATGATTAAGTAGTCCCTGGATGTGAGACAGGGTCTGGTTTTCAGAAGAAATCTGTCTTCAAGGTGACAGTACAGGGCAGAGGGAACAGAGACAGATAGAGCTAGCAAGCGCAGTGAGTGACACTGTAACTCTGGCTTTCAGGTCATTCCTAGGAGTGCTTGC